AGGAGGAGGAGCAGCAGGAGGAGGAGGAGCAGTAGTAGTTCTGCTTTTCTCAAGTTTTATCCTGTTCTGCGAGTTGCTGAGAATCACTTGTGGTGGGGTGTATACCACCGGTCATGTTTACCTGAAAATATGCCTCGAAAGAGGGGTAGTCTATCCACTATGTTCAGGTACCCAAAGGGGGTGGACTTAGATTATCGCACTGCGATGTCGGCAACAGATGAGGGGAGAGGAGGAGGAGGAGGAGGAGGAGGAGGAGGAGGAGGAGGAGGAGGAGGAGGAGGAGGAGGAGGAGCAGCAGCAGGAGGAGGAGCAGCAGCAGCAGGAGGAGGAGAGGATACATCACCTGTAGCTGTGGTTCATCCTCTCTCTCCCCATCAGACTGACGGGTCGGATCGCTCGTCACCCCGGCGAGCTCTTCTACAGACTGTGCTCATGGATAGAGCCAAGGTGGAAGAGGCGGCGAGGCGAGGGGGTGACCTTGATCGTCTTCCTTCCTCCTCCTGCCGTCTGATGAGGCTGTAGGGTATCGATCAGCTGCCCTCAACGACAAGCTCTCCCTCCAAAACCAGAGGTTCCGAAACATCGCTGTGAGTTGACCGGCTCCTCCCTCTCGCTCCTCCTCCTCCTCCGTCGCTCTAGCCCGCTGATCTCGGACATGACGTCGTATCAGGGGCTGGAGGAGATGAAGGATGTTCGCGTGCTGTGGCTGCACCACAACTTGATCGACAAGTGCGAAGGGTTGTCGCATCTGAGCAACCTCCGCATCCTCTACCTCCAGTCCAACAGGATCTCGTCTCTCCGCGGGCTAGAAGGTGAGCAGAGGAAGTCGCTTCCCCGCCTTCTCTCTGCCTCTTCCAGTAGGTGACGATGGCGACGGCAGACCTCGCGCAGCTGCACACGCTCAACATCAGCATGAACCTCATCACGAGCCTTGAAGGCATTATCTTCCTCAAGAACCTGACCAACCTCGACGTCTCTCACAACTCTCTTTCCTCTACTCGTGACATCACCGAGCTTCAGTTCCTTCCCAACCTCACAGTCCTTGACATGTCGAGCAACCGCTTCGAGGAAGAGGTCGAGGAGTCCGCCATGCCCCCAGCTGTGTGCTGACGGGTAGCAGGAGCTGATCTCGTTCCTGGTCGCGCTCCCTCTCCTCGCCGTCCTCTCTCTCAAAGGAAACCCCTTATGCAAGTCAGTAGAACCCATTCCTCCTCCTCCTCCTCCTCCTCCTCCTCCTCCTCCTCTTCAGCCTCTCAATGCTAAGCCTTCCATCTTCCAGTTCCGTGCATCAGTACCGCAGGAAGACAATCACTGCGGTGAGGCTTGGGGTCTTAAGTTGGAACCTGACTGCTGATCAGCTTCAAACTCTCACATCCCTCGACGACGTCGCCGTCTCCGGTGCTTCTCCTCCTCCTCGTCTCCTCCGCGTCTCCTCCTTGCCTTGTCCTCACGACTCTGTGACGAGCTGATCCAACAGATCTCGACAGACGCTGTGCCGAGGTCTCGTTGACTTTCTCCTCTCCTTCCTCACGTCTCTTCCTCCTCCTCTCAGTCGTTTCTCTTGGGCGGCAAGGAGGCGGAAGCGCAGGCTCGCGAGCAGTACCGCAACGAGGTGAGAGGCGCATGGGCGTCCTTGCCATGACCTGCTGCCAGCGGAAGGAGCGAGAGAAGAGAGACCGCGAGGCCCTGCGCAGGACGCGGGAGCAAGGAAGGTGGAGGCGCGGGAGCTGAGAGCGCGTCTGATGCAGCTGGAAGGGCGCGGAGGCTGGCGAAGGAGGGGAAGATCTCGCGGGAGCTGGAGGCTTTTCGCTATGCTCTCGTGCTCGTCACCGTAGACCAGCAGCAGGTTGGGGCTGCTGCTGCCTGCTGGAGGCTCAGGGTGCGGCAGGAGCAGAACATGCGAGCGACAGGTGTGGACTGCTCGGTCTGTCGTCAGGAATTCGTGGAGGGAACAGGTGGAAGAGGCGGAGAGAAGGGAGGGGAGGGGAGGGGAGGGGAGGGGAGGGAGAGGAATGGGTGGGGGATGGTGGTGGAGGCGATGGAGGTGTAGCAGTGCTGACATGAGGGGGCAGAAGCGTACAAGCTGCCTTGCTCACACGTATACCACAAGCCCTGCATCCTCCGCTGGATGACCGAAGTCTGTCTCGTCCTCCCTGTGCCTCAGCTCAGCCATTCGTCAGAGCAAGTCCTGCCCGCTATGCCGCAATGAGCTACAGCCGACCAGTAAGCTCCCGCTACGTCCTCTCCTTCTGCTCATCAGCCTGCAGCTGCTCTCAGCTTGGAGGAGCGCGAGAAGGTGACGAGGAGGAGGCGTCCCTCTCCTCACCAACTTTCAGCTGGCGTTGGACGCCATCGCCGAGACCCACCTGGTGTCGGTGAGAAGAAGAGGAGGGGAGGAGGGGGATGGTACAAGGAGAGGAGGAGAGGAGAGAAGGAGGGGGGGGGGGGAGTAGAAGAAGAGGAGGAGTGATTCATTCGACTCACTCACGCAGGTGGTTCGCTCCTGCTTCTTCGATTTCCGCCAGGTAGCGACGCGCATAACGGTGATTGCTGAGAGCAGCGAAGCTGGTCGAGGGTGACGGCAGGACAGGAGGCGGTTGGAGAGACGGACGAGAGGAGCCTGGAGGTAGAGATCAGCGCTGAAGGATGTCGGCGAAGATACGAGGGACTCGTGCGGAAGTGGCGACGAGATGGAGCTGACAGGAGGAGGGAGAAGAAGAGAAACAATTGAAGAACTTCATTAAAGTCGCAGGTCTGATGGTACAAGCTCTCGAACGAGAGTACGTTGTGCTAGTGAAACAGGTGGGAAAACAAATAGAAATCAAAGAAAGGAGCCTATGCTGAGCATGGAAGAGGAGCATGAAACTCTAGCTCGGGGTTCTGATACAAACAGTCAGGCAAGCAAGATGCGAAGGAAGAAGCTCCTCACCGGAACGAGACCCGCAGCCAGCCAAGCCAAGTCATCCTCATGCCCCGTTAGCAGATGACTGCTTCCCAAGTCAGCAGGCAATACAGCAGGCGAGAGGAGAGGGAGAGGGAGAGGGATGGCTGTCCTCACCTGATCTCGTCGTCGGAGGTCTGAAGGGAGTCACATTCATCGTTGGTTGTTCCCTGCAAGCATTCATGAGACATTCAAGTTAGACCCAAGTCAAGGCATCCCCTACCTCTGTCTCGCTGCTCTCGCTCGCCAAGAGCTGCTGCTCCTCTTTCACGCTCTTGATGATCGCTGACACACTCGGCTGTTCGGGGGGTGAGGCAACTTCGACCTTGACAGGCTTGGACGGAACCTCCTTGCGCTGAGCAGCGACTGGCACGGCGGGGATGCTCGCGGCAGCAGGCGAGGGAACACAGCGAGTCTCGGCACGAGAGTAGGGCCATCGGATGATTCCAAGAGAGCGGCAAGCAGTCTTCAAAGCCGTCGGAGAGATCTTCTGTTGAGGGAGGGTCAATACGACCTCACGAGAAGACTCGACGTACCAAGATCTCAGCAGCGGACGGGAGGGGAAGCCAGCACAAGGAGTCGATCATGTCGCGATTCAACACTACGATCCCTAGATCGCGGTTGGCCTGGCCGCTCTTTCTTCGCGGATAGATGACCACCTGGTCCCTCACAAGGTTCCGCTTGGCAGCGAACTGATCGCTCATGAAAGACATGTTGTCTGTCAAAATGTTATGATGAATATAAGAGAATGAATAAGACTCACGACTTCCGTGTCCGTACACTGAGTAGTTGATCATAACAGCCTTAGTAGGCTGTTGGGAAGCAGAGAATGGAAGGCGCAAACGCGTACTCGTACTCGTGAAAGCGGGAGAACACAGGCGCGGAGGAGCAGAGAGTGGAGGAGGAGGAGGAGGAGGAGGACGAGGAGGAGGAGCTCGAGCAAGAAGTAAGGGGAGGAAAGGAGGGAAGAGTAAGGAGAAGAGGAGGAGGAGGATACGATGCTGCTGCTGTTCCTGCTCCTGGTAGATATGGGGACAACGTAAGCCAAAACCTTCACCCCCACCCCATTAAATCCAGTCAGTATTGGGGTACATCCGGATACCCAAGGGTAGTAGGGGCGCAATAGGGGAAAGGGACCAAAGAGTCTCCATATACCCCACCCTCTCCTACACAATCAAATATACCGGTACTGATCAAGCCCCACCCCAATAGTGCTCAGAAACCTGGGGGCCATAGGGGGTAGGGGTAGGTACGTATCACCCATTGCGGGAGCACAACGTGACAGGTAACGTGACTTTCCAAGGTCGGGATGACACGAAGCGTTGAGTGTTTTATAGCATGATGACTAAATATGTTTTAAAGGGGGAACCTAAAATAGTCAGTCAAACACTGAAATCTGGGAAGCGAGCATCGATCAAGTTCAAATTTTCACGGGCATCAGGCCCTCCTAATTTTGAAACCAATCGAACGTTTTGCCTGGCAGCCAAATGCACCCTTCACCCCAGGGTATCTCAACAAAATCCTTCAGTCCTATCTACATCTCATTTCCGATCTGCTAGTGAAAATAAGCTATAGAGGGTCATAGGAAGATCTAGGACCCTCTACGTCTCTAGGGCGTGTAGCGCCCCAATATTTATGACCCGCGGGAACCCTGGGACCCCTCGCCCCCCCTAGTCTCATCGTTTACACGGGACCTACCCCCGTGCCCAGGATTACGTCTTTTGGACTACGACCTGGTCATGGTGGATAGACCCGGGGGGTACTAGAGGGGAAAATGTAGGGGTATCCGAAGAGGCTTTCCGAAGAGAAAACGATGCCCGAGCATTTGTCATGGAGGGGGTAGGGGTGCGCTGCGCCTCAAGTCTGAAAGGGCAAAGGAGGGGTACTTTAAAGGGATAATCATGGGTAGTACCGGAGATGGAAAGAGGGGTGGGTGTTCTTTTACACGCACATGACCTCAGGCGTAACCCGCCCCCCAACATGTCCTGCCTGGTGTTAATGGTACCCCTTTAATTCACCACAAAACCACCCCTACCTGAGAGTAGAGGGCATGGCTCCTTTTTCCTGGAGCTGGCAAGGGGGAGATTTATACGGCCCCCTCTGCTTGGTCCCTATTGGTACCCCCACCCCCTATATCGAAGGTCTCAGGGGGGTGGACTCGTCTGTTGCTAGTGGGCGGCAAGGAGTCACAAGTTTTAACGGTCTCAACCGTCAGTCAGTTACGCCCCATGGGCCTGAAGAGGGCAGGTTATGGCAAGTCGGGGTCTAATAAAGCTAGTTGTAAGGCTGGAGAACCTGCTTGAGATACCGCTGAGATCCGAGGCCGCCGGGCCTTGTGGCTGGTCGCATTTGCGATACACCCCACACGCCCGGGACTCGGATCCGTGCCGGGTCACTCACTGTCACCCCCCAGGCCGCTCTCAACCCCCAGCAAACTTTAATCAACAATGCTTTAAACATTACAATGTTTCATTGGAAAACATCACTTAATATCAGCAAGTAAATCCTTTGGTCATCGCAACGCAAGGTTGACTAAAACTTTAAGACTTCTACTTGAAGCCTCCGCGGCCTCAGCTCGTGCGGCCCGGTGAAGTTCCGGCCCGGCACTGGCCGCGCTCGGACCGTCGGACCGGCATCGCGGCGGCATGACTCCTGACTTGCCCGGCGCCCGGCGCCGGGCCGCCGCCGGGCCGGGCGGCCCGCACGGTCCGGCACGGTCCCGGCAACACTGGGACATGCCGCAGTCGCGGCGGCCCTGACTCAGCCTGGCAGTGTAGATCATCATGTTTTCAAGTCAGTAGTATGACAATCATGTGTCACCTGGCCGCCGCGTCGGAGCAAACTGGCACGTTACAAAGCCGAACTTAGTGATCGGATCGCGGCGCGAGTCATCAGTGGCATCGCCAGCCGCGCACTGATGGACTCGGCCGGGAGGCTCCGAGGCGGCTTGCAGGATGTTTATCATGCCCGGTGTCCGACGGTCAGTGAAGGCATCAGGCGGCAAGGTTAGTAAGTTTGGGGGATCGGACAGCAGCACTGAACCGTTTCGGAAGCCTTAGCCGGGCAGGCCCTGATGATTATGTTTGCGGCCCGTTTCTCGGCGCCGCCGCAGTGTGACTTTTCTCCGAGTTACAGTCACTGGAACTTTCAGAAGTCAGTCTGATTTTTAACTTAACTTTGAGTCAGTCCGAGTCACACTTCGGAGTACTGAGCCTTGCCAAGATCAAGTTTAGTTTAAGTTTCAAGTTTCAGGCACGCGGCGGCCCGGGCCGGCCGGCGCGAGAAGGGCGCCGGCGGCCCGGCTCGGAGGGCCGCTACCCGGTGACCGTGGCCCGGTGTACCCCGGCGCCGGGCCGGCCGCGGCCCTCCGTGACGCAGCACCGTCCCGACCCGGCGCCGACGGTGCCACCGGGGCGGCCTAGTACCGGGTCCGATCAGTGCCATTGAAAGCCTGCCACTGTGAGCAGAGAGCGTTGACCGTAGTCACCCGCCGGGCGGCCCGGCCGGCGGGCCCACCGCCGGTCCGATCGGTCCGGCCGCGGTACTGCCCGGCCTGGTACTACGGTACCACGGTACCGGGGCCCGGGGGCCTGCCACGACTCGAACTTGAAACGGAACTTCAACTTTCATAAACACGACCGTGTCAGCGGCGGCCTGGTAGGGTGGGTCTGTGGGGGATGAGGAGCTAATAACATCAGTCGCATCGCATGTCGAGCCCTATGGTAAGGTCAAGATAAACATCAGAGTAGAACAGAGGGAGAGGCAAGGAGAGGAGAGGCGAGGCGAGGCGAGGCGAGGCGAGGCGAGGAGAGGAGAGGCGAGGAGAGGCGAGGAGAGGCGAGGCGAGGCGAGGCGAGGAGAGGAGAGGAGAGGAGAGGAGAGGCGAGGCGAGGCGAGGCGAGGCGAGGCGAGGCGAGGCGA